TATCGTATGTAGCTGTTTCCTCTTTTACTGGCTGTTCCTCTTGGACTGGTTGTGACACTCCCCACTCTTCTATCTAGAACAGTTTAACTGCTCAGCTTCCAACACGCCTCCAAACAGCACTGCAGCCTCTACAGCCTCCACAGCCTCCACAGCCCCTCTCAGGCGTCCTCCTCCAGTCTCTCTGATCCTCATCACGCCGTTCAGGATGGACTGGAGTTCTCTGACCTGCTGTTTGCTGTTTTCTGGTAAGAGCAGCTCAGCTTTGAACTGTTTCTTATTCATCCAGTGTTTCAGTCGTTCCTTCATTCATTAATGAAGATATTAAGCTTCTCTTCTTCTCTGAGGACTTCAGGAATGCAGATGTAGCAGATGTGGTTGTGAAGCTGGTCTGAAAGGCAAATTATAATTTAATGACAAAGTAATGAATGATTGGCTGGTGCTGGTTGTGGATTTGCATTTATAATATGTAATTTAATGAATTTAGCCAAGAAAGAAGGTTTTAGAAAGTGCAAATATATCGAGGGGAGTTCCACCAGTTTCTTAACATTTCTGCATAATTCGGTGGTTGGGATGTAAACAGAGTCATTCAGAGTCGTTTGATGTGAAATAATTCATTATAGAGAAACTTACTGACTTCTTTACAGTGGTGGTGATAGGAACCAGGGGTCACCATGTCTACAACACAAATATGGACTTTCATTTGTGTTTTATTTGGTGGTTTTATTTACTATCCAAAACCACCAGTGAACCTGTAGGGGTGTGTTTTTATATGGAATGTTGATGGTAAAACAGCAGAAAATGTGATAAAAAAACAAATTGGGGACTATTTTGCCTCAGAACACCCTGCACATAAAGCAGTGAATTCATAACCATTTCCTGTAGTAACTTTCTGTGAGGGAGCTTTTAGAGGTGGATGTCTGGTTCCTATCACCACCACTGTGAACAATTCTGACTCGGTAAGTTTCTCTATAACTGAGCGTTTCACACCAAACCACTCTGAACGGCTCTGTTTACATCATAACTGTTCAATTATGCAGTAATTTTGCAACAGTGCTGGAGTTCCTCTTTAATACGTCAAGTATATGAAACTGACCATTGTCAATAAAACAGAAAGAGATATTTTGCCTCTTTTTGGATGATCTCTTGCGCTGGTCTGCGGTTTCCACTGACAACATAAAACAGCATTCATATATTGAAAATGTCCTTTTATGGCAGGTGATGAAGTTTGCAAGTCATTGGCAACTTCCTTATTTCTTTTCTTATTGTCTGCATCTCTCTCTCGCTGTTTTACCCACCCATCTGAGATCATTCCTTCCTTTGTTGAAAGTCAGTCTTTGTAGAAATGATGACATTCTGTATGAGGGAAATGCGTTACTCAATAGGAGGTGTTTATGCTTAACGCGTTACAGTTTAAGCTGTTTTAAATAGAGTTCTAGAATGTTCTCCACGGACCAAAGTTGGCCTATAAGAACATTTAATGTGGCCTAACTCCATCCTCGCAAAACTTCTGCATAATTTAGTTGCTGAGATTTAAACAGAGAGATTCAGAGAGGTTTGGTGTGAAATGGTTCAGATCACTTTACAGTGGTGGTGATAGGAACCAGGGATCGCCATGACTACAACATAAATATAGACATTTTATTTACTATCCAGAACCACCAGTGAACCTACACGAGTCTTCTGGGTTTCTGTATAGAATGCAAACCATCTCAAATCTATCGTAAATAAATGTCTCAGTCATCAGGCTTGGATTCATAACCATTTCATGTAGTAACTTTCTGTGAGGGAGCTTTTAGAGGTGGACGTCTGGTTCCTATCACCACCACTGTGAACAATTCTGACTCAGTAAGTTTCTCTAGAACAGAGCATTTCACACCAAACACCTCTGAATGACTCTGTTTACATACAGTTTAATTATGCAAAATTTTTAAAAACCACTTTCTTTAATATCTTAATAGTTTCTCCCAGAAAATAATAAGATCAGGTGGAAAGAGAAGACAGACGTTTGCTTATAAATTTGAGTGTAACAGTTTAACAACCTGAAAAAATGCTTAAGCTGACCAAAGCTGTTGTCCATATCATCAATAACACCATGATAAGAATAAAAACAGACAACAGCAATAATACTAATTGTTTATGTGCATGGTATTTCAGTACAAAAGTGCATGTACTTATTTTACATGCACATTGGTATAAACAACTGCTGCAACTGTTCCACGTTCCATTTAAAGAAATATAACACTGTGCTTTGTTTGATGTTACTAACTCCGCCCACAAACAATACAAAACACAGCTTGTGTCATACACTGCAATAATGCAGCACTTAAATATGTTATATCAGGAGAATAACCACACTACACTGTCACATCATTATATCTTCTAGAAAAACTAAGACAAGTTGTTTTTAACATTTTATTCTTTCCAGTGGTCGTTCTTTTAACACTATAAAGTTTGGTCAGCAGGGGGAGCAGTGCAGTCACAACTCCACCTAAAACTCTGCCTATGAGCAAAGCCATTGGCTCATGAATCACTGCATGCTCTTGTTTTAGCGGCATTATGTAAATGAAGTAAATGATATGCAAATAAGGTGCTAGTATGCTGTGCTTGATTTCACGCACTGAAGCTCATTCATCATTTGCGCTCAAATGTCCACTTGTATTCACATCAGTAAAGGTGATCAAATCTGCACTCTTGTTTAGGCAGCTTACAAACTAAGCTAACAAATAAGGGCCAGATATGCTGAGATAATAACACTCTTCATCCGCAACTAAACTCTTATCTCTCCTGTATCTCGAGTCTGCTTTATTGCTGTTTCCCCTGAGAAATTTCTGGAGAATCGCCATAGGTCTCCTTCAAACGTAAACATCTGAGTGATTATTTTCCGGGAGGCACGCCAATTTCCCAACAGGAAAAAAGGACATTAACAAACCACTTGTCTGCTCATAAACTTGGAAAATGTTAGAATAGGAAACAGGAAATATGCGGAGAAGCCCAGCACAGTATGTTCCTCTCTCAACATCTTAACCCAGTAGCACACTTGTGTATGTGTAGACTTTTGTTTTAGCACAACATGTTCTGAAATGAGCAGTGCGTTAAATGACCTCTGAAGTTTAAAAATATTTTTACACTGCCTTTAAGCTCCATTTTGGAATTATATTTGCATTCAATTTTATTCATAACACTAGAATTAGAACTTAAATTATGCTGGCCAGTCACAACTGTCTCAATGTTCCTTCATCTATAAAGTGAAGGGAAATTCCTTCAAAACAAACCTGCAGTGAGAACAGCAGTGGCAGCAGGGGCGTCACTAGAGGTTCATGGATAGGGGATCTACGCCTGTAGGAGGGGGGGTTTTGGGGGTGTGGTCCCCAAAGAGAATGTTTTAAAGGCCCCAAATGTTTATAATGCACTTTTAGAAAAGCAACAGCCAGAAAATGTCAACTACATCAAGTTAAGGGTATCAAAAATGGTTTTTTGGTCAAATTGGCACACAGTAGATCTGCCTCTCCATAGTTTGTATTAAGCCAGTATAACAAACACTGTATCCATCCACTTACAGTAGACACAGATCAAGCAGAGGTGCTGAAGTCAAGCAGTGTTGTTTCCTCTCTCTTACATTGCTTACAGTTGCAATGGCCTAAAAACATTGTTCAAATACACAGATTATAGATCAGTTCAGTCCCGGTTGGTGATAGAATTTCATGGTCATAGTAACAAATATTATATTTTCTCAGTTTAGTTGAATTAAATTCAGTATTAATTTTAACCGAGAGCTTACACATCTCTCCCTCGCTTTCTTCCTGATCACTAACCTTTATCAGGTTTGCTCCTTCAGTTTCTTTCTCTCTCTCTCTCTTACTGTGTTTAGTAATACATTAATTTTATTAAACTCACATTTACAAGAACTGAAGGAAATAATGATCAATCACTTTGACTTTTCATTGGAGCTGCTGCCTCTTAATTTCCATCTATAGGTTGAGGAATTGAGGGATGTAAAACTGTGTTATGATGACCTTTTTACACAAAGCTGAATCAGCTTTCTGTATGAATTGTCCCGTTTCACCTTAAATGCTGCCGCAGTTACATTCTGAGGCCTCACAGCGGGAAAACTCAAACAAGAATCTGGCAAATAGGAAGAACTTCAGCCTCATCCTTTCCACTTTAACTTACTGTAAACAACAACATTTGGCAAATACTGGAGCTGTCAGTGACGTTATGTCAGTCCTTCTTGTTCCGTCACTCTCGCTCTCACTATGAAGTGAGATAAACTAGCTTGTCAGCTAGTTAGCTAAAGTTAGTTTTAGCCTAGCCTCTTTTTTCCCCTCACTTACAACTCAAAGTTAACTAAAGTTAGCTAGCTAGAGTTAAGCAACCAA